TCAATAAATATACATATGTGAGTATGCATTTTGACAAGATTAATGACTGAATGAATTCAATAGATATTTATTTTCATTAATATCTTTTATCCAGAACTGTTACTATCAAAAGTACTACACACACACACAACTTTGTATTGTCACATGAAAATCCACATAATTGCCTGCATCAGTGGTTTCTCAAAGTGTGGTTCCCATACCACTAGCAGCAGCAGCAGCAGCAGCAGTATCGCATGGGAACTTGTAATAAATGCACAGGCCCCACCACAAATTCACTAAATCAAAAACTATATTTTCATAAGCTCTTTGGGTGAGTCTGATGCAGGCTAAACTTTGAGAACCAATGATAGAGATACATTCATTCAGTTGGAAATGGAAGTTGAACTTGTAATGCATTCTTATCTTTCATATTAGAGACTTTAAGCTTTTCTTGGATACAATACATTTGGGAATATCCTGGCTTTAATAAATGGCAAGTGAGTCTTTTTCTTCGGAACGCCCACACCCACCTTCCCCTTCATCCTTACAGTCAGTGCTCCAGGCCAGGTCCTAATGTCTTACCCCTGGCATTGCAGTGGCTTTCCACCTAACTAGTCTGCCAACTAGTCTTCTCACTAGTCTCCACACGCTAACACCTTTTCTTGAATATAAAATGAATTTTTCCATATGTTTTCATTTCTGAGACAAAGATGCATATTCCAGTCAATAAGTAAATTTGACGAAGTGGTTTTTTTCTTATTTTCCACAAGATTGTTTTATGCCAACAACCCATTTTTTAATGAAGGAAATAAGATATTTGCCTACACTGTTTTGCTTCATCATGCATCGAATTGCCTTTTCCCTACCCTCTTGTAGCCCCATTTTTCTCATATTTCAGGCATCTTAAATTAGTGAAAATGTTCAGTTGTCAATCTGCTCATTTTAAAGGAAGATCCCAGTGAAAGAATGATACATTGCAAAACCTTGAACTAAAAGCAGTCACATACTCAAGGCTGAATATTCTTTTCATTAAAAAAAGTTTGCAGCTGTGTACTTCCAGCTTAAAGTAGAGTTTTTGCTTATGCCTTCCATATTCTCCCCAGCATCTTCAGTGCCTCTCTCTGAGCCTATGATTCTGGAGTTCATGAATCACCACTTAGGAAGCACAGCGGAGGGCACAGAGCAGGATTCCCACAGTGGGAACCCTCTCTCCGTCTGCTACTGCTCTTTTTCCTCTCCTACCTCCCTGTCTTTTAAAATTTATTACGTTTTCTTACTTTGCTGCTCTGAGGAGCACAGGCTTTTTCCTATAAGCCACGTTCTTTATGAGCCTCTAAATTTGGATGTAGCACACAGCAGCTAGGTTATTGTAATAGTTTCCAGGATTCATTGGGAGGTCTGGGTTGAGCCAGAGTATCTATGTATCCATGCTGATTACTAATAGTCTTTTTCTTCTCTTCCCAGCTCTGGCCTTTCCCTTGGTCCTAGAGACCTTCTCTGGGTTTCTTCATTAACTGGCCTTGGTCCTATAGACCTTCTTTGGGTTTCTCATTAATTGCCACAAGCACTAGTAGCCATGAGACGGCACTGAAGTAGGCCAGCCTCCTTGTGGGTCTAAATGATGGGATATTGCAAGAAAAGTTTCTAAATTAAGTTCATATAAATCTAATTTCTGGCTCCCAGCCTTAGCTATACATTAGAATTGTCCATTAAATTTGACCCCCCGAAGGTGGAATCTGAGCATCTTTGTTTCAGATCTTTCTAGCTAATGGCTAATGTCTAGTCAGGGCTGGAAACCACTGATGAGCTCCCAGAATACAGGCTATTCTACTTGTGGAGATTGGTGATCAAGCCTAAAATCACACCTTTGTGTCCGAATAACCCTAACCAGCTAATAACAAACATGATTCTTACTGCCTGATGGGTGTCATTTAAACTGTAAGCAAGTTACCTTTATGTCAGCAGAGCTAAAATAATAAAATTTAGCTGATTTCTTAGAAAACAGGAGAAGAACATAGTCAAATAGGAACAACTGTATTATACCACGGTTTGGGCAAGGGAAGTGTCCTCGTTGTGGGCTCTGAGCTAGTGTTATGATGAGAAAAAAGCATTGATTTTCATTGGGCCCAATAGGAATATGATATATCCGCAGTATAAATTAATTCATTGTAGAGTAAAGTGCCTTATAATGTAGGTACCTTACTACATTTGGAATATACCCTTGACGTCTTTTATGCCTAAATTTATACCACTGAAAGGATTCATTATAATCCAATTAATTGAAATGTAAAAAGTAAGAACACATTGTAAAACATCATTTTTCAAGCTGTGTTTTGCAATCATAAGACTATTTCAAAACACTATAGGGAAAGTGGCTGAAACATTTCTCTGATCTCATGTGTGTTTCTTTTAGTTACCATTTGCAATAGCGTACTAGCAGCAGGAAATAGAAGACACTATCTTAATAAACCATAGTGGTTTTTAAATGTGTCTGTTACAAGGGTGCCTCGGTGGCCCAGTTAGTTAAGCTGCTGACTTTGGCTCAGGTCATGATCCCTGGGTCCTGGGTTCGAGTTGGGCTCTCGGTGGAGTGCTTGCTTCTCCCTCTGCCCCTTACCATGCTTGTGTTCTCTCTCTCTTGCCCACTCTCTTTCCATCTCTCAAATAAATAAATAAATAAATAAATAAATAAATAAATAAATAAATTCTTTATAAAAAAGTGACCGTTATAAACAAAAACAATACTACACCAGCCCCACAAAAATTTATTTCTTATGTTTACTCAAAAATTTTAAAAACTGAAATTGAAATTGCTGTAACTCAATTTTCAACAATGGATATGAGGATTTGGTATATAAATATGGAGATCTCCACGACTAAGTACTGCTTCATAAAGCCTTGCCACTGTTCCTCATAACTTTTAGCTTAGTATTGGTAATGAAAGGCAATCAATAAAATGATTTTCTACTTAACACATCATTCTACCATCATAACATATGCACCCAGAAGGTAAACGTTAATCTATTTACCTTAGTTTCATTACCAACAAAAGGTGCCAAGAAATATATGAAAAGAATTCAGACAATTAGAACAATTCAGAAATGGTTTATTAAGCAGCCATTATTTATTATACCTTGGGAACAGTGCCTCTTCTTAATACAATGACTGACATATAATAAATACACCAAAAATATTGATGAATGGATGAATAAATATAAGACGTGACTTCTGTCCTTTAGGAACTAATAATACTTCAGTGGGAGGAGACAAAAATACATTTATCTGAAGAACAGGACAGAGTTCTTCAATAGAGGTGCAAACCACTACGGAAGTAATAATAATTACCATAGCAGCTTAAAAGTATTATGTCAGCAGACAGTAAATCAGAAATGCTTCTTGAGTGAGGTGTGAGGTGAATGAAGTACTGAAAGTCCAGAGCTTCACAGACTAGACACTGAATTGAGGAAGGACATCCCAGAGGGAGGGAAACCACTTGAAGAAAAAATGAGGACAGTTCAAGAAAATGGAATGCTTTGGGGGAAGAGGTTATAGAGATATGGCTTATATGTAAGGGACACACTGTGGAGGGTTTTCCATGAGAAGTTAAAATAGTCCTGCGTGTTGGGAAGCTTTCAAGTTTCTTCAGAAGGAATGGTACAGTCAGAGCTATTTTAGAAGGATTATTTCAGAGTCACTGTTCAGAACAACTTGAGGCTGGAGGTCGAGTCTAGGAGGTGGTATAGTAAGCATACACAAAATGAGGAGAACATGAGCCAAGGCATTGGTAACAGAGTGGATGAGCTCATTGGAAGACATCTTGGATGTCCAAATGGATTTTGAAGATTGGTTGTAGGTGGGGATCGCGGGAAAGGAGCAGATTTCACGTCAGAGCAACTAGGGATATAGCTATTTTATAAAAGAGATATTTCTAGAACGGGTAATATTAGCAGATGATACTGGAGGGTTCTGGTATAAATCTTGAAAAGGAGTACTTTCCAAATGATTGTATTGCTTATTAACAGGTTTGGGAAAATAATGACAAGACAAAGAAGTGTGAAAGGGTTGAGAGAAGAAGGTAAGCTGAAAGCCAGATACCACAGGAGGTTACAAAAGTGGCAAGAGATAAGAGGATAGTGGCATTAAAATGTGAACAATGCCACAAAGATGTGAGTCAGGAAGCACAGGAAAGTGGCGAGCAGAAGTTAGAATGAATGAATGTGAGAAAGCGTAGACTACATGAGTTGTTCCCTTACTGTAAAGAATCCAAAAAGGAAAACAATGCAAGAAAGACGGTCACCATGAAGAAGTGATTAAAATGGGTAACTGGTTCAGGAGGATGGGAACCACAGAGACTGAGCATGAGGATAATAAATAGCATGACCCTGTTAGTGGGCAATGGTCATCTTGTTATTCTGTAATAACATACCAGGTCGACAGAAACTTTGTTAATAGATATGAGGTACTACTATTGGCTATTTCCAAGAAATTAAACAAGAAGTGACTTATTTATTTTTTTAAAAGTGACTTCTTTATTAATAAAATTGTGTTTTATCTTATTTGCCATGCTCCGTCAGCCTTATTATCACTGATCTTTTGGTTGCACTTTAGAGTCCCCTAACATCTATCCATCTCATGGCCCACCTTCCCAGGAGGCTGCCGTGGCAGGCTTTGGGCATTTGCAGACACACGCAGCAAGGACAAAAGAAATCTTCTCATGAGGAAACTTGAAGGGCCCTGACCTGGAAATCTAGGCCCCATAGAGCCCACTAATTCTAGACTGAAAATAAGATTTAAATAATGTAACGGCTCCATCTAGAACAACAACAGTGACAGTTGGCAAGCACTCAGGCTCCGAGGACTTTCAGTGGTTTAGGAAGCTTTCTATCTAGTGATTAATTCCTGCCAAGACCATTTTCATAAGCAATTGGATGAGACATAAGAAGTCACCTCTGCTTCTGTTATATTAAAAAAAAAGGGAAAGCTAATTGCATCCTCTGGTATTCCAATGTGATAACACTTACCGGAATAATCACGGGGACAGATACAAGTGTATCTTCCTATCTCATTGAGGCATGTAGCTTCATTCTTACAGGGATCTGAGACACATTCATCCACTTCCAGGTCACAGAGCCTGCCTTGATATCCTGGGACACAGAAGCAGGAATAGCCATTGATTCCATCCTGGCACATGGCCCCATTGTGGCAGGGGCTGGAAGCACACTCATCAAGATCGTTTTCACAGAATCTTCCAAAATATCCATCAGGGCAGACACAGATAGGATGTACAGGGTCCTGATGGCAAATACCTCCGTGTTGACAGGGGTTTATGCCGCAGTAAACAATGGCAGTTTCACAGGTTGTCCCACTAAAACCAGGGGGACATTTGCAGAGAAAGCTCCTTTCTCCTGGGTTGTTTACACAAGTGGCATTTCCTTGACAGGGATTGGAGAAGCATGGATTCCTCATGTTGTCACAGTCTTTGTCCACATGAATGGCTGCATCTGAACAATGGCAATTGTTGTCTTTTGAAGAATCATCGCATGTTGAATTGTTTGGGCAAGAATTTGAGAGGCACCTGGTGTCATTTTTATTGCAAAAGGAATCTACAAGGAAATAAAAAATACCAAGATGAAGTTTACAAATAAATGGCTAAGGATAAAATTAAAGATCGTCCTTCTGCTCCTACGCCATCTCAAACTCATTAATGAAAAACAGTTGGCTGCATTCTTTGGATGAGTTTTGTCAAATAATGTCTAATGAGGTTTTTCATTAATAATGATTTGTCAAATCTTTCCATATCGTTACTAATAAGAAACAAAAATAGCTGGTTCGAGATTCTTTGCTTCTCCACGTCCCTTTCTCTAGGCCAAGTGCCGTTGAGCAATGGGGGTGAATTGAAGCAACTGTTAAATTGTCCTATACACACACGCTTTTGAAATTCACATCCTCTCATGGAGGATTTTGGAGTATACTGGGAAATAAGGCACAAAATTGTCTCTGAATATAGTCTAACTGAAACCAATATTTAAGTGAATGTTACAACTTGGTTTACCTGCTTTATCACAATGACCATTTATGTTCTAAAAAGAAAAGCATAGGGCAGCCCTGGTGGCTCAGTGGTTTAGTGCCACCTTCAGTCCAGGGTGTGATCATGGAGACCTGGGATCGAGTCCCACATTGGGCTCCCTGCATGGAGCCTGCTTCTCCTTCTGCCTGTGTCTCTGCCACCTCCTCCCCTCTCTGTGTGTGTCTCTCATGAATTAATAAGTAAAATCTTTAAAAAATAAGAATAGAAGCATAAAGAAATGAAAATATTAAAACAAAATAAAAGACCAACTATTTGTTGAAGCCCTACTCTTTGTACCAAGCTTGCCAAATATTTCACATAAATGATTTCTGATCTGCACAGCAACACGGTGTTATTATGCACATCTTACAGATGACAAATTAAATCCCTCTGCGAGGAAATAGATGTAGTAAAGTTTATGGACTTTTGCTTTTCTAAAAGCATCTCTGTTCTAGGCATCCATTTTTGAAGTGCTAATTGGAATAATAACCAAAGGAAAAACAATAATTCTTTAATTTTTTGCCGTACTCATTAGATATGTGTATGTGTAGAAGTTTTCACCAAATATACATGTATTATGATCACAGCATTGGTATGTTCTTAATCACAGAGAAGGTTTATGGTTTGTCAACTCAATTGTATTATCCCACAAAACACTGTCTTGCATGTGGATTCATCTACTATATCATTCTCCTATTTTTACTTCCTTTCTCACAATATTGCTCACAAATATAGTAGCCGGCAACGGTACAAGCTTGTAATAAAAAAAAGGTACAAAATGGAGAGTTTGCTCTTAGGACATGAGACATAAATCAACTGTTGCCAGGAGAAAATAGTGTGTAAACTTTGAGAAATATGTAATGATAAATCTTTTCCCTCTCTTCCTGCAAAAAGAGAAGCGGCTCTCATAACATGGTGTGGCCACCAACAGGGCGATGCAAAGATACTGAAAAGAAGTGACTACTTGGTACATCATATCAGAGCATGAAGATTTTCATAATTATCTTCTTATGGGGTCTTTCTGGCAGCCAACAATTTTCCTCTAGAGGGTTGATCGGAGAGCAAATGTTTTCTACCCTCCTTGAGAAAAATTCAACTAATCATTCTTATACTTTTGTGTTTTTGTTTGTTTTGTTTTGTTTTTTCAGATGCTGGCTTTCCTATCACATCTTCAAATGTGATGTCTTAGTGTCACTTCCTGAGAGCTTTCTAAATTCTAAACTCTTTTTCTAAATTTTATTGTTTTGTTTGCTATGCTATACATGCTGTTATTCCTTTGTGTGTGTGTGTTTGTTTTCTGTTTTCTTCATTAGAATGTTAGCTCCGTGGAGAAAAGGAGGAGACCTTGTCTCTCTGTATTTCCAGGGTCTACAACATTACTTGTCACGTCGCAGGTGCTCAGTACATACTTATTGGAAGGAAGGGGGAAAATGTCACAACAGAAACATGGAAGGGTGCTGTGTAATCACAGGGGCCAGGGAAAGTGTACCAGGGAAAGCCTCATTGAAGAAAAGGCACTTGAGAGGACTTGGTCAGTGAATGCAAGTGAAGGAAGGATATTATCTGCAAAAGAGAGAACTAAAGCATGAGGGGTATTGACATTCTCTGTCAATAATAAGAAAAACATGAGAGGATGTGAGACAGAAAAAATGGGGAGGATATAAAGAAATATTTATTTATTTTAATTTAAATTCAATTTATTTAACGTATAATGCATTCTCAGTTTCAGAGGTAGAGGTCAGTGATTCATCAGTCTTATATAACACCCAGTATTCATCACATCACATGCCCTCCTTAATGTCCATCACCCAGTAAGTGATCCTCAGTTGTTTCCTATGATTAAGAGTCTCTTATGGTTTGTCTCCTTCTCTGACTTCATCTTGTTTTATTTTTTCCTTTCTTCCCCTATGTTCCTCTGTTTTGTTTCTTAAATTCTACATATGAGGGAGATCATATGATAATTGTCTTTCTCTGATTGACTTATTCCGCTTAGCTTAATACCCTCTAGTTCCATCCATATCATTGCAAATGGCAAGATTTCAATCTTTTCAATGGCTCAGTAATACTCCAATATATATATTGGAGTTTATATATATATATATATATATATATATATATATTATTAAATATATATATAGTAACCAATGGAAAATATAATTATTTCCATTACACACACACACACACACATATATATATAAATTTATCTATATCTATCTATATCTGTATCTATATCTATATCTGGATATCTCCCACATCTTTACACATTCAACTGTTGATGGATACCTGTGATCTTTCCATAGTTTGGCTATTTTGGATATAACATTGGAGTGAAGGTGCCCCTTTGGATCACTACATTTATATCTTTGGGGTAAATACCTAGTAGTGCAATTACTTGGTTGTAGGGTAGCTCTATTTCCAACTTTTTGAGGAAACATCAGACCGTTTTCCAGAGTGGCTGCACCAGCTTGCATTCCCAACAGTGGCTTCCCCTTTCTCTGCATCCTCACCAACATCTGTCGTTTCCTGATTTGTTAATTTTAGCCATTATGACTGGTGTGAACTGGTATGTCATTGTGGCTTTGATTTGTATTTCCCTGATGCTGAGTGATGTTGAGCATTTTTTCGTGTGTCTGCTGGTCATTTGTAGGTCTTTATTTAATAAGTTTTAACTTTTGGAAGCATTTAAAGTTCCTGTGTCCAACCTGAAAAAATTCAGTTAAATACTGTAGCTGCCCTCTTAACTCCACTATCAAGGGTATTTATGAATTTAGGTTTTCCACTTATTTTTGTTTTGTTAGTGATGGTGATTTTTTCCTTCCTTTAATTATCCTTTATTATCATTTAAGCCATGAAATGAAGTATTTGGGGATGCCTGGGTGGCTCAGCGGTTGAGCCTTTGGCTCAGGGCCTGATCCTGGGATCAGGGATCGAGTCTGGCATTGGGCTCCTTGCATGAAGCCTGCTTCTCCCTCTGCCTGTGTTTCTGCCTCTCTCTGTGTGTTTCTCATGGATAAATAAATACAATCTTAAAAAAAAAAAGAAATGAAGCATTTGTGTAGAAAGACAGCAAAGGAAATTAGCATTTATTCCCAATGCTCTTCCAATACAACTTTTAAAATGGATTTCTTATAATATTTGATAAAGCCCTTTACAGATGGAAAGCTAAATTTTATAAGGACTAAGTCATTTGCATAGTGTCAAAGAGAGGTAGGATTTAAACTTCTGATTTGTCTCACTCTAAAGTCCATTTCTTTTTACTGCATTATTTTAGGAGTTAGGATACTTATTGGGTAGAGTTTCTTATGTAAATATGATGATATGCTCATGAATGTTTAATTCTGTTCTTTCCAAAATTCCATGAAAGACATAAAGGGGACAGCAAATAAGCATATTTAAAAATGCTCAACATCATTTATTATTAGAGAAACTGAAACTAAAAACAATATCTAGAATGGCCACTAGAATGGTCAAATGACAAAAATTAGCAATACAAGATATTGACAGGAAGTGGAGAAAATGGAAGTCTCCTTCATGCCCTCACCAATAATTCTTGCCTGTGTTTTACCAGTTGTATTAGTGTTTTCATATATTGGCCTTTGACTGTATAGTTTCTCCTTGTTTTCTATCTTAGGTTTCTGCTTCTGCCTTTTTCTTAATTCGACTTGCTCTGAGTTTAATTGCTATTTACTTTTTCATGTATTTCTAATTTATTAATTTAGGACTAAAAATTTCTATTTTTACAATAGAATTTTCTATTCTATTCTATTTTACAATAGAATTCTAAAAATTCTATTTTTATTTCTATTTCTATTTTCTAATTTTACAGTTTTACTGCATTTCCGATGAATTTTTCAATATCATTCAAATAGAAATATTTCCTAATTTTCATGATGATTTCTTCTTTGACCTATGGAAAATCCATAAAAATCAATTATATCAAATTGTTAACTGTGTTATTCAGAAATTCTATAGCATTGGGGATTTTTCTACTATTTCTCTTCATTGAGATTAATGCACTGAAATCTCCTATTAGTGAATATGAATTTCCTATTTCTTTTTTAGTTTTGACAATTTTCACTTCTATATTCTGAAGCTATGTTCTATGTTCATAGAAATTTAAAATGGTTACATCGTCCTGCTGGTTTGACCCTCAAATATTCATAAAATATCCTTTTTATCTTTAGTAATGCATCATACCTTATGAGACTACTTTTACTGTTGTTGTACAGCTATGTCAGTCATATATCTCATACATGGCTGGTGGGAATGCAAAATGGCACAGCCACCTTGGAAAACAGTTTCCAAGTATCTTATTAATTTAGACATACACTTATTCAGCAAATCCACTCCTAAATATTTCCCCGAAGGAAATGAAAACATAATATCCACACAAAAACATGCTTGCAAAATTCAT